ATAGAGCATTGGAGAATTCGAAACTGGAATACTCTCGGTCGGCGGAAGTCGCGGCTGTTAAAAGAGACTAGGAAACCCCGAGATTCTTTGCAGGCTTAAGACTGTGGACTGTGTCGTGGTGACGACAACGTTTTTTGAAATAGGTGTATTAAAGTGGCCTTTTCTAGTGAGGTAGCAGTTTGCATTGCATTGTGGTCTAGATTCGGTACAAACATCTTTTGTTCATGCTGCCAAATATGGCGTTGTTTGTTCAGAAAAGTCCTATTGAGCCTATATATCAGAAAAAATTCCAAGAAGTTCAGAGTTTACGAGAGGTCCGATAGTCATATACATAGTCGGTACTTTGTCCATTAGCAACAGCTGACATCTTACTTAAAAACATTTAAATGTTTTTAAAAACATGTAAAATTCATTAAACGCGCGTTCGAATCTGGTTAAAGTAGAGTATTTATTACCCTGGTTCCAGAGGTTTGATATTTTCTCTCCGCCATTGTTTTTGTTTTTGCTTCGCGACGACAAAAACAATAGCGAAGAGAGAAAATAGAAAGCCTCTGGAACCAGGGTAAGTAATACTGYAGTCTCCATCCAGTTGACATCTTTTTTATAAAAGAAGGTATTATTTTTAATTTCATTATTATTGAAGATGGGCTGGAGACCAGCTGGAAGCCACATTCGTACCGTCCGTGTCGTAGGGGACGTTGATTCCTTCATACAGACAGACAAATACGAAGTTGTGTCCAACATCGCTTATATTGCGTTCAATTGCTCTATTCTGTGTAATATGTCTCAACCTGTAAGCCGTCTCCAAGGCAACCACTTGGCAGATATTAACTACTGCAACTTAGTCTTTGAAGTTTGGGCCAATGATAGTCTAGCAGATCAAGTCAATTGTACGAAACCTAAAGGAAAGTACGTTTATAAGCACGAACGAAAACGCGATGGAAGACCAGTAGGTCACAAGTATGATCTTAAAAGGGGTACCAGCTATKAGTTCAGGTAATTACCAGAGCAGTTTTTAAAATTTATTCACATAAGTGAAATTATATTTATAAGGATTGAACTTCTTTTTTAGGTGGTTCTTTCATCAAGAGGATGAATTGAAGTCTGTCTCTTCTGCCTTCGAAGCCAGGATTTATAATATCAGTATTGTGGGTGTCAGAGGTGGCTCAGCTATAGCCTGCACACCCTGTGCTAGCGGATATTACAGTGTCGCTGATAACAATGACTGCCGAATTTGCCCGAAAGGAACCTACAGTAAAAGGGGATCAAGCAAGTGCTTGAATTGTAAAGAAGYWTACTTTTCAGACGCAGTAAGTAAATGCAGTTATTACACTTCGGCCTTTAAAGGCTAAATCTTGCACAAGGCGACTGAAGTAATTGGGTTTGAATAATGTGCAATACGYTGTTTGGAACACATTTAACTAAAGGAAATTAGAAATTGTACTAAGTTCCATTTTTGCTTATTTAGCCCGGTAGCGGKGAGTGTCTTGCTTGCGGCGCCACGACAAAAAGTCTACCAACTCGCGACGGWTGTACCAATAATGGCTGCTCGTATTCCTACAAGGACGCTGGTTTAGAGTACGATTTTTCCCGGCTCTCGCGCGTCAATGGCTCAATGTTTAATGTGTTGAGCTATCAAGTAGGTAGTCCAGGTTTCTCAAGAATGGCCATTAAAATCGGCCGTCCGCGAAGGACGACACCTGCGCGMCTTTCGATCTGGCCTCCTTACAGACCATCCTTTTACTTGAACCTGTGTACAGTATTCCATGACAATACATCGTGTACGACTCGCCAAKTAGGTCGAGGTCCACGCAAGAGTCTTCCTGTCATGGGCTGTCGTGCGAGTTGGTGGAGTCTTCAAGATAAAAGCATTGGACGTGTCATTGGATTCAAGCCTAAGAAAGACCCGGCTAGCGGTGTCATGGTAGAGTTACTTCATGGTGATATATGTCATAAAAGTAAGTTAACACTTTTTTTGTTTCTTTTGTGCTTTTTACGTTTTAATTGCTTTCTATTGTTGTTCAATAAGTGATAGGTATAGAATTTGAGCTCATAAAGATTGTTGCCTAAGTCAGGAACAACAGGACCCAACAGGGTTCAATCCGCTTACCTCCACCGTGAATGTGTTTTTTTTAAAGGAGTAAGTCGCGCAAGGACGATCTTAGTTTTGAAGGCGTAACTGTCTTCGAAAGAATAATACACTTTGTTTTTTTTGTTCATTTGTTTTTTTGTTGTTTGTTGTTTTTGACTTTGCCCTGTCAGATAATATATCTCCGTATTTAGGAAGTCCAATAAACGTATTTTTCTTCTATCGTCAGACACCAGATACAACGCGACTATTGATCTTGTTTGCGACGTCGACGCTGGCGTTGGTACTCCAGGACCTGAGACCAACCACACTCAGATCTTCAGGCCACCCTGTTCTTATTACTTTAAATGGAGATCGCTTTATGCATGTCCAAAGTGTCGAAAAGGAGACCTCGAGAAAGTCACCCATCCGTGTATAAACGGAACTGCTCGTGTAACACTTGAACGCAGGTTCCCTTGCTGGGGAAAGTTGGATGGCATGGAGGTCGGAGAGACATACATTAACTGCACGTCTTTCGGCGGCGGAATTAGTCATTTKGCTAAGGTGAAAAAAATCGTCGAAGTACAACAAACCGTCAACAAAGTACTGATTGGAGTTGGAGTGGTCGTTATTGTCGCATTGCTAGTCATCGCTGGATACTTCTTCTACAAGCATCGCGATATCAAGTTCAAGTATTACCACACGCTAGCYAGAAACAAGCCCATGAGTAGACTGGAGGAGGAAGAAGAGGATTTTGGACAAGTTGAGGGCGACGTATTTAATGACACGCGCACTATGATAAACAGCTGATTGGTCTCCTTTTGGCAGACAAGCGAAAAACAATTGGAAGAAGTGTGATTAACAGTTGAGAGAAACAGAAGAGAGGAACAGAAGGACTTGAGAATACTTATACTCTAGAAATTCTGACACAGGAATCATACACCAGGTATCGTAKTAATATTGCAAGGCCAATTTACACGGTACTTGTACTGCTGTCAGACTTGTCACAGATGTTCACGATTTATTGCTAATTCGACGCATCTCATAAAACAACGTTTTTGCTAAAGTAYATCGTTTTGATCTCATCGTGCAATAAATCTTGGACATTCAATTGACAATTCTCTAACATTCCAGTGCAAGCCGACTTAGCCTCGAACATATGTGAAATTGATTGGATATTCTAAAGTTTTCTATCCGAGGAACGAGGCTATTCCAGCCTGTACTGTATTTTTAAGAGTAATCAATACATTATCGACACATCGTACATTATCAAAATACGCATTTTCTAATCTGC